TAGAGCCAAAGATGTTAGAATTGTGTCGATGTCCCAATATTTCTGGACCTGACAGTATATGCCCAAAATATTTAAACTTTAGCTTCATTATTAGTACTTCCAGGGAACTGTCTGGTTTTACTTCATCTAATTTGTTTTACTTCCCATCCAAGATGCTGTTAACAGTATTATCCAGCACCACAGTTCAAAGGCATCCTATTTTTGGGTGGGTTCAGGTTTCAGTTTCCACAGCCATATATTATGGCTGGGAGGATTGTGGTCTTGACTATCTGTACCTTTATTGGCAGTGTGATATCTCTTACCTTTAATATTTTTTCTAGATTTGTCTTTCTCCCAAGAGCAGACGTCTCTTTATTTCATGACTACAGTCACCATCCCTGTGGATTTTTTAGCTCAGGGAGATAAAATCTGTTACTACTGTCACTGCTTCTTCACCTATTTGTATTAGGTCGGCACCAGCACTTAATATGATCTTGGGGTGGGGGTGTTAATATTGAGCAGCAGATTGACTTTTGCATTCTTTTCTTTCATCTTGAATGATGTAGGAGAGCTGTGTTAAACTAAATGGTAACACATTGTGGCCTTCTTGCTGTTACAGTTATGGTATTGATTTTCTGTTTTAATTGTTTAAATTCAAACAGGACTGTTTAATTGTTTAATTAACACTGTTAACTGTAAGCCTCTCAGAGTCTTTGGAAATGGAGTGGCATATAAGTCAAGATACGTAAATAACATCAGGTTGCCTCAGCATTTGTGCCACTTCTGAGCTCCGTTCATTGAATTTTTAAAATATAGCAAAAGGATTGATGAGACGAGGCCTTTTCTATTGTGGCACCCCACATCTGAAGCAACTTCCAGATGAAGATATCTTGATTTTATGAATGCTCACTTTTCAATGAACTGGAATGACAATCTAATTTTAGTGGATTTTCCTCAGATACTGATCTAAAGAAGGCTTTGACTATACATGCAATCTAATACATCTCAAGGGCAGCAGATTGGAGGAGGCAATTGAACAGCTTTAGGTGAATAATCAGGTTTTGTGCTGAGCACACACAACACACACACATATATCTTGGTCTTAGTTCACTGGCTTCACTCATATAGTAACAATAGGCTCTGTTTTCAGAGACCGGAGTGTTTACTGCAGTGTTGTCCAAACTTGGCCACTTTAAGATGAGTGGACTTCAACTCCCAGAATTC